TAAATAAGTCCCACATGTGTAAATACCAAATAGTTTCCCTGGTGTGAATATTCTGCAACAATGCATAAGATTCTAATAAGATTACTGACATTTAGAAATGGGAGGAAAGGAGCTAAAGGTGTAGGGAAGGTGTGATACGTAGGGGAAGAACAAAAAGGGAAAAGAAAAAAATGTGAGAGAATGAAAAGATGAAAATAAAGTGTTTGTAGATGGGGAGGGGAGGAGGGGGTGAAGGGAGGGCAGAGGTAAGGGGAAAAAAATGAGAATCAAGACTTGCCATGTAAAGGTACATGATCCCAACAATGAATGTAACTGTACTGTATCCCTAAATGTACCAATAAACTCAATAAAAAAAATTGGGACTTCAATAATCCATAAGCAGATTGTTGGAAGGCAGCTGCATATTGTGAAAGACAGATCATCAGGTCTGCAGCCCAATGCCATTTGCCTATAAACTCAAATTCAGTAAGATGGAAGACTTCTGAGCTTCACTTTCCTAAAATGGGAAAGATACCAACTACAGGTTTATTTGGCAGTTGAGGAAAAACTCACCGATACTGTATATGAGAAGCACTGACATCAGTCCCTGACACATAGTAGGGTTGACATCATGTTATGGTCTCTCTTCTTTCCCTTTATCAAAATCATGTGTAGAGATGATTTGTAGTAATAACACTTTTAAGTGGTTTCAGAACTTACAAAGAAATAACTCTTTCTAAATTTGGTTTTGATTTCCTTCAGAATCTGTCTTTTGTTTTACTCCATTTCTCTCCATTATGGCAGTTTATATCATGTTATGTAATTCGTGTTCCATTTGGTGTTTATTGTCAATCTTCATTTTTTTCTCTGTAGCTATTACACCCTTTTTTGTGTGCAAATGGTATTTGCAAGTTTAAACACTCTGGCTCTTTTTTGTTTTGTTTTGGTTGTTTGGCTTTCCTTTTAATTAAATACTTCTGACGACTTGCTTCTGATGAGCTGAGGAGAGGTGTTGAGATCCGTCATTTCTGAGGTATCTCTACCCTAGAGGGGAACCATTACCTCATGCAGAGGTGACACAGACATCCAGTCTGGGTGCCTGTGTATGTGAGGTGGGGGTGTCTATATGATTCAATTCCACCTCTTCCTTTCTCCCTCCCTGTATCTGCTCTAGAACAATGCACAGCCCTTCTCGTTCAGCTCTTTGTTGGAAATGGCTGCCCTTGGGGAGGGAAAGGCCCCAGCACCCCACTCCAACACAGGAGAAGAGCTAATCCTTTTGCTGAATGCTAGGACCCTTCTCTCAGAGTTGTACTAGATGGTGGCACAGTTGCTGGGGAAAGAATTTCAACAGTGAAAACTTCTGAGGGCTCATGATCCAGTAACCAAGAAGCCTCTTTCATTGTCCTTTTTATCTGCCCCTCAGCCTCTGCTTCATCTTTGGCTTTAGCCCTTAGCAAAGTTGGCACATCTCTTAGGGGAGAAAGGTTTTCCTTTAGGACTGTAGAATATGCTGTTCTTTTGGGGATTTCCTTATGGAAAGGAGGGTGCAGTAGAAAGTCCCTCGGTTGCCCCAAGGGACTGTTCCTGGACTGGTTCAGGTGTATTATCTTGGGATCCAGTCAGGTGACAGAAGCCCTGTCAGTTATTTGAACAGTGAGGTTTCCAAATAAAGACATTGTTAATAAAGTGTGAAGCTGTCAACTAGGTAACCGAGAGGACAGAAAGAGAAGATGGTGTTATAGAGGTAGCAACTGCAGAAGCAGCTCCCACCTTCGAAGCTGATGGAACACAGAAAGAGTCTGGAAATGCTAAAACCTAGATACCTAGAGGATGGGCTTTGTCTTGCTAAGACTTGCCTCTGAGGCAGCCACCACTTGGCTGGTTCCAAGGTTGGAAAAGAGGCTCTTGGGGCTGAATGCAGATGCTGGGGAGGAGCTTTCTGACCGGCAAAGACAGAAGGGGCACAGGTGATTTGGGGATCCCAGATGCCAGCGTCACAAAGAAGAGAATGGAAAAACAAGTTTGGTGTTAAGAGATAATAAATTAATAACTGAACAACAAATTAATAACTGGCACAGATTCCTTATCATTTTTCTTTAATGTGTGTATGAATTACCTGGGGATCTTGTTAAATTGCAGCTGATTTGGGTGGTGCCTAAGATTCTGCATCTTTAACAAGCTCCCAGGTGATGTGCATGCCTCAAGCAGCGAGCTCTGAGGGGGCCTTAAAGAACCTAGTGCATGTGCCTTCCCGTTCGATGTGAGGAGCAGTCCTGTGCAGGAATCCTCACTGGGATAGCTGTGCCCTTGTGACATCCTCAAGGACGGCACATATCATACCCTCTTCTCCCATGTTCCCTTACTCTGGGGCCTTCTCACTTCTCTCGTCCATGTTAAATTTGGCAGGACTTGGCTATGTGATGGGGATTACGTGTGGTCACAGGTTAAAATCTGGCCTCTTCTGAGTGATATTAACATTTTATCCTGAGGCTTTTTGTGCTTTCAGGCCAATAAGGCTATAGAAAAGGAGCCCACATGGGGTTAATCTTAGGTAGTTCCTCTAATGCAACTGAAGATGACACTCTTGATAACTGCCATTTCATAATAACTTTAGAGGATGCTTATTTTCCAATTTTCTGTCTGCTGCAGAGCTGAGGGAGAATCTTAAGCACACATATGATCTTCCCACAGGCTTTCAGTACCATATCTGTTTCCCAAAGGGGATTATT